TGTATCGGAATAAGAGATTTCACTTAAAGGGTTTCCAGCTCGCGCTCGAGTTTTGCTAGTGACAGGAAGAGAGGGGTGACGTCGTCGCCGCCGCCGCGGTGTGCCTCTCGCTGCCTTTGCACCCCTGCCGATGCAGAGAGTCCGCTGGTGGCGTTTATCGTTTCGAACCGTGGATTCGAGAAAGAGACGAGCATCGTCGGAACGTCGACGAGGACGACGATGGTCGGAGAGGGGTGGTGCGAGGATCTTCCCGTCGGCCCGGGGATAAGTAAGGAATCGTATTCCGCCGGGTGTCAGGCTGTTTGCTCTGCCTCGGCGAATTAATTAATTTATTCCGAGATCACCCGAGGTAGCCCGGAGGCAGAACGGAGAGAAATCGCCTCGGAAACGGTTAGCGGAACTCGATGGAAACTCTCCCGTTTTCGGTCTCCGTCGCGTTGCTTCTGCTCGTCTCTCTCTCTCTCCCCCCGTGTGCGTATACGCGCGTGTGCGTGCGCGTATCCGGTATCGCGATAATCCTCGAGCAAGCACGCGCGCAAAGTCGCCTCTTTTCCCGCTCCATTTTCACTCGGAACTCGTAGTACTTACCGGTAATCGCTCTGACTTGCTCGGAGGAAGCCCCCGTTGCCTTCAACGCCTCCTCGAGCTGCGTGCGCCTCTTGATCTCCAAGTCCAGTTGTTCCTGCAGGCGTTTCCGTGCCCTCCGTTCCTTCTTTAACCGTTTCTGGTACATCACTGCAAGCAGAAAGACGAAGAAATCCGGTTAACCCCGTGATCGGACGGCCTCGTGTTCGGGTCGCGTGCGTCTCCTCGGAACGACTTCGACGGACACCTGTCAAAACGACTTAACGGGACGGTAGGTGGCGCTTCCCGTTCCCCAGGTGGCGGAACCCCGGCGCGGTCAAAGTCCAACGAAATTATCTCGGCGTATCATTGTACCGCGGGGGGTTTCACGGCCAGCACAGGGGGCCTCGGACCTCGAACACGCGTCTAAGCGGGGGTCTGATCGTCTCGTCGGCTACCGTGCGCGCCTGTCGACGGTGCCTACCCGAGGATCGACGTCGATCGATCGCTCGATCTAGTTATCGATCGATCTACGAATTGGTTGCCCGGTTAAACCGGTTCCCCTTCTCGCCGCCGCGCAACCATTTGCAAACGGGAACAATTTTTTCTCGCGACTGCCTCGCAGCTGTCAGCCTGGCCACGTTGCTTGCTTGATCGCTTTATCTCGATAGACCTCGGCTCCGTCCATCGCGTATTACCCCGACTAGGCCCGACTCGCCCTCTTCGTTTCGACGCTCGTTCCTCCGTCACGGAATCTCGGTATCGCGGATTTTCCAATTCGCGCGCGCGCGCGCACGCCGAGACATTCGACACGGTCGAACTCGTTCCCGCAGACGAAGGCCGATCGAGCGATCGTGCTCTGGCCTCTCGGGTCGGCGCGTTTGAACCCACCCACCCCCCTCTGTCCGCTTTAATTATTTTCCATTATTGCGAACCGCCGCCGCGTCCGGCCATTGTGTCTTGCCCGGCATCGCACCCGCGTCCGCCACTTTCGGCTCCGATCTCTCGCGAACCTGGGCTTTGTTGTCGACGCCTCGGTCGACACAGCGTCGTCGTCGTCGTCGTCGTCGTCGCTTCCACGGTGGCCGGATTTCGCGGAACCACGAGGAAACGACGCGAGCTCCCTTTTCACGGACTACCCTGTGTTTAAGGTGGAAGACGGTAGTTAGCGTCCAATTAGTCTCGTCACCGGGGAAACGGGGGTCCGACTTGGCCAGCGATGCACAAGTGCATCGTCATTTCTGCTCGATCCTCGGTCGAGGAAACTGGCGTCGAGGGTATCGCTCGGTTCTACCGTTTCGGACCCAGGTTCACCGATGTTTTCCACGCGATCGGCAGGTGGACACCGGTTGAGCGTCACTGATACGTGATTGATTCCCGGCAGACAAGGCGCAGACAACCCCTTTGCCCCCTCTACGTAGCCACGATGCCGGTATACCTGTGTTCCCTTTCCCCGCGTGCACACACCTTTGTCTTTCTCCGTTGCGTTCTTGCTCTCGCCGACTTTCGAGGAACGCGGTTTCGAGACGCAGCGGCGTTCTCTCTCTTTTTCTCTTTCTCCTCCGTCTTTCTCCGACACCCTCTCTCTCTCTCTCTCTCTCTCTCCCTCCCCCTCTCTCTCGCTCTCTGCCTCTCGCGAGCCGCGTTTCCTCGTCTCGCCGAGTCCCCGTGCAGATGCCGTCTTCTCCGCGCTGTCGAATAGGTGTGCACGGCGACAGGAGGGTAAGGAGAAAGCGCTCGCGAGGGTGCGGGCAGGAGGAGGAGGAGGAGGAGGAGGAAGAGAAGGTGGAAGAAGGTGGAGGACGAGGAGGAGGGCGGAGGAGGTGGAGAAGGTGGAGAAGGTGGTCGGCGAGGGCGAGGAGGGACGCGAAGCAAAGTACGCCGGTGGCGGGTGGGTGAGGTGGGACAAGGTGGGAAGGGGGACAGACTTCTCTCCGGTGGTAGGAGCGGCCTGTGGGGTACGAGGGAGAAGCGGGGGGCGCAGCATTATGATGCAAAGATGGCGCGGCTGCGGCACCCTAGAATTAGCTCGAGCACTCGCCATTGGCCGCTCGGCAAACCACTCCTTCGGTAACAACCGACTGCATACGTTGCATACTAAGGATACACGCGAGCCTGGCAAAGAATTGCCCCGAACCGGGGCTGCTCCGGCCCGAATTCCACCTACGATTCCCAGTCTGTCGCCCGACCGTTTTCCTCTTCGTCGCTTTTCCACGCTCCCTCCCTTCCTCTATCCCACTGTCGTTCCCCCCCTCGAATTCGGCGATCGAGCACGTTCCCGCGAGTACTCGCGAGTTCGATCGCCGGTTGATTTCGACGACCGCTCGCGATACGCGTTCCTCCGGGTCAATAGTTTGCCCGATCGCGACGGTGCACGGCCTTCCCGCGAGAACTGTCTTCTCGCCGACTTTGCTCGTCGCGATTCCGTTCCGCCTCGGCTCCAGCGTAACAGCCGTGTAACTGCTCGACGCCGAGTCCGGAGACTCGATACGCGACGCGATCCCGGCATTTCCACGTTTCTCTCTCGTGGAGGTGTAGAACGACCCAACGCGTTCTTCGCCGTCGCGATGTTTCGTTACGATGGACGACGACGAGCGAGTGGACGAAAGGTCGCGTCGGAGTAGGTAGGCTATGGGACGAGGGACGTCGTGGATCACGCGTTCGGTGGAAAGAAAGCCGCGGTCGTGGTTACGAAATCGGAGCCGAGAGATCGAAGCGGCGCGGCCGTTGGTTCGTAGGCCGATGAATCGTGCGGTACGTTCGCGAAGGAAGACCGCGAAAGGGGAATCGGCTGCCGGGTCCAGGGGACAGGTAGGGGTTGCGCGACCCGGGGACACCGGGTCGGAGGGTACCCCGAGCGGAGAAAGGACGCTGGGAAGAGTGAACGGAAAAAGGGTACGGGGCGACGGGGAAGGGGGCGAGGTGGAAGAGGGAACAAGGTTTCTCTCTCTCTCCTCGGACACGTCAAAATACATCAGCTACCGCTGTGCGTTCGATCAGAAATCCTCCGGCCGCTGTCCGCGTGGACTACCCACGTCGAAGACTCGCGGAGTCTCTAGACGCGTCCGCCTACGTTTAACGCTGCCTCGAGATCCCGTGGGCAGATATCGATCTGGCCGCTGTCACGACCGGAATCGTCGAGATTTCGCTGCGAGCGAACGCCGCGAGTAGATCTCGCGCGAAGAGATTCGGCGTCGGCGGGAGCCGCTCCGGGCTGGGTCTCCGAGTCGTCGCCTATCTCCGGGAATTAGCGGCCGGCCGCGTAAACAATCGGGGGAAACGCGACGGGGCAAATCCAATAGGGAAACCCGCAGAAACTAATATACAGGCCGGTCGTCTTACCCGGCTCGCGTTTAATACGCGCTCTCGTGCCGAAGCGGGAGAACGGTCCCTCCGGGAATAGCAATATGATTTACATTTTGAGGTTATATTGACCATTCCCGGCACCTGCAGCACTCGCTCCTTCCTAGCCCGCGGCCGCTTCCGTCGATGACCGGGTTCCGCTGGAGAAAAATTAATAATACCTCGTCTCTCCTTTCTGCCCCCCCTTCCCGAATCGCTACCGATTCCGCGATATACCCTCGCCGACGTTCCACGCAGCTTTCCACGATTCTCGTTACGCTCCTCGCGACGCCCGTGCTCTCGCAACCGTCCCCGCTTCGACGGGATCGAGTGGGATAGCCGAGAGGGGCAGGGGGCGGGCCGAGGAGATTAGGGTCGCGAAGGCTGTCCGCGCGCACTTAATGCGTAATTACGATTCATGAAGGCGGACGAACCGCGGCGTCTGGACGAGCGCGAGCGCAATCTTGGCCGAGCGTGTACGTCCTCGAGGGCCGGCGCGAAGCGGACGAAACGGGCGAAACAGCCGTTAGCCGGCGTTTAAAGGGGTTCTTACGCACCTACTCGAGACGCGGGAGCAGCCCGGTCTCCACCGACGGACAGCATCTGTGCTCTACGGCTCTCTCGATATCCATACAAAAGCCGTCTGCTGAATAACATTACGCTCGGGCCACGCCGCTCGCCGCGGACGATTATAGTCCGACGAACGTCGATAGTAGTTAGACCGTGTATCCTGTGCGAATGCTAATTTCGGACGGCTCGAACCGATGCTCGGCCGAGCCCGTCCTTCGGGCTAATCGACGAAACCGCGAACCGATGTCTTCCGGTTCTCCGCTCCTCTCTCTCTCTCTCTCTCTCTTTGGTTCTCGAGGACGACGAACGTCGATAGTAGTTAGACCGTGTATCCTGTGCGAATGCTAATTTCGGACGGCTCGAACCGATGCTCGGCCGAGCCCGTCCTTCGGGCTAATCGACGAAACTGCGAACCGATGTCTTCCGGTTCTCCGCTCCTCTCTCTCTCTCTCTCTCTCTCTTTCTCTCTGTTTCTCCGCTTCTTCCGCCACGACACGCGCGGCCCGCTCGCACACCCCGTCAGTCGACCCCGTCGAGCTTTTTTGTCGCCTCGCGAACACCGAGGGTAGCGGGAAGGACGGATCGATCCTTCAGGACTGCTCGAGAAGAGCGATCTCGCCGTGGCAATCGTAACCCCCTCCCCCCTGCCGCGCACCCCCTGCCCGCGAGAGGGTCGCTCTCGTTCAAATATCAATTTTGCGGCGACAACTTTTCGCCACCCTCCTCGCTACGCGTGCTACTCCGTGACCCATATGGAAATGGAGATCGGTCATCGGAATCCAGTTTGCCAGTGGAAACATCCCCTTGGACGCGGCGTAGGGCGAACCACCCCTCGTGGACAGGCTTCCACGCCACGGAACGTCGTAAAGTCGAAAGCTTTTCGCTTTTACGTATTATTCTTTTATCCGATATCGGGATAGCCGGTATCCGCCGGCGAGATACACCCGGGAAAATCCTCTTTCGCTGTCCCCTCGCTTTTCCGGCCCACCAAACATTCTCGCCACACCGCCTCGTCTCCGAGCGTCTGCTTCGTCTCGCCGCGTGTTGCCATAGGACAAACTAATTTATCCCATTAACATCCGCTGTGTACGTTATCGGCGAGAGCCCGATTCTGTTTATCCGACTTTAGATTCGCGATGAGGGAAAGAAGTCGGCTAGACGAAAACGGCAACGCGAACGAAAACGAAACACGCCTCGACAAGCCGTTCCTCCGGGCGCGGGGGGCAACGATCTCGATGATCTCGTCTCTGCGACGAGAT